TCTAGAGTAGCTATATCTTTAAACTGTCCCACACTGTACTAAACTGTCCCACACTGTTGTTTGTGTCAGTGACGACGCTCCCGGAGACGCTAACATGCAGAAGTTATTGAGCGCTCTGTTGGACACTCCCGGCTTCGGGACTCGCTGCATGGACGGACATCCCATCCCGTAAGAGGACCTCAGTAACTGATTATTATATTACAATATGTCATTGCTCCTGAGTCCTGTCTCTTTAAGGGTTAATCAATTACACATATTATTTGATTACCCCCTCCCCCCCAGAGAGGCCCCCTGTACAATGGGTGATGAGGACTGGCAGACTCCTGAGGTCCCAGAGAGCATCCAGCAGATCTTCAGCTCCAGTAACTGGACCATGGACAATCCGTCTCCAGCTTGTTTCTGCAGCTGCGACGGCAAGAAGAAGATGCTTCCGGACTGTCCCGCTGGAGCTGGAGGACTGCCCCCCCCTGAGGTCAGACCGCCTGACGTAGACCTGAACCACCACTGCACCCATGTCCTCATTTATACTTATATACTTTATATTTATGTTTAGTTTTTAGTTTATTAATTTTTATAAATTACTCTTTTGTCGTCATTGTGGTTGTTGTTGTTGTTGTTGTTGTCGTTGTCGTTGTCGTTGTCGTCGTTGTTGTTGTCGTTGTTGTTGTCGTTGTTGTTGTCGTTGTCGTCATCGTTATCCAGATGAAGCTGAGTGCCACCGATACTCTACAGAACCTGACAGGCAGAAACATCTCAGACTACCTGGTGAAAACCTATGCTGAGATCATCGGCAAGAGGTACCACACACCTGGAAATACATCACAGTACAAATACACAAATACTACAGATACTACAGTAATACTACAGTGATATTACAGTAATACTACAGATATTACAGTAATACTATAGTAATACTACAGTAATACTACAGATACTACAGTAATACTACAGATACTACAGATACTACAGTAATACTACAGTAATATACTACAGTGATACTACAGTAATACCTCAGTGATACTACAGTAATACTACAGTAATACTACAGTAATACTACAGTAATACTACAGTAATATACTACACTGATACTACAGTAATACTACACTGATACTACAGTAATACTACAGTAATACTACACTAATACTACAGTAATACTACAGATACTACACTGATACTACAGTAATACTACAGTAATACTACAGTAATACTACACTGATACTACAGTAATACTACAGTAATACTAGTAATACGACTAATACTACAGTAATAGTAACATTTTGCTTGTGTTTCAGTTTGAAGAACAAGGTCTGGGTGAATGAATTCAGGTTAGTATTCTTAATTCTTCTGTATTTTATTTTGTAAATCTTGAAGTCAGCTTCCTGTTTTTCACTGTTTGGATCTTGTTGTTGTTGTTTTCTCTCTGCAGGTACGGAGGCTTCTCATTGGGCGCTAGGAGCACTCAGGTCCTTCCACCGGCCAATGAGATCGACGACGCCATCGAACGAGTCAGGAAGATCTTTGAGTTACAGAAGGTCAGTCATCGATCAATCAGTCAGCAAGAACAGAGTTCACCAATAAAAGCCTCTTATTGTGAAGGTCTGTGGTAAATGTTTAATTTTGTTTTCAGGGCGCGGCTGCAGATCGATTCCTTGACAGTCTGTCAGGTTTCATCAACGGTTTGGACACGAAGAACAACGTGAAGGTGAGAACCCGCCACAGTGATCAGAGCGACCGTAAAAAAGACAATCATAAAAGAAAGTACATTTAAGAAATGCTGATTTAAAAAAAAAAGAAGTAGTTTTGATTTTAATTCTCATAAATATTTAACATTTCAAAGCTGCTTGGTTCCACTTCCTTCCTGTTCTCAGACTTTCAGAATAAGAGCACCAAGGTATTGGTGTGATTGTCCAGTCAAGCTGTTGAACTTTATCGACGTGCAGAGTCGGGTTGTTCAGACGTCTCTGAATGGAGACGAGCACGCTCAAAAGCGACATTCATTAATTGCGAAATCATCAAATAAAAAAAAAATAATTATACATTTTTATAATTTATACACAGAATGAAACTTCTTTTATTGAGATCAATCATTGTTATTGTTCCTCTGATTGATTCTGGTCATTAATGAATAATAATATTGATCTCTGTCCTCAGATCTGGTTCAATAACAAGGGCTGGCACAGTATCGGAGCGTTCATCAATGTGATGAATAACGGCATCCTGAGAGCGAACCTTCCTGCAGGCAGCGACCCCAGCAAGTATGGCATCAGCGCCTTCAACCACCCTCTGAACCTCACCAAGGAGCAGCTGTCCCAGGTCGCACTGTGAGTACACAGGAAACACACCTGACAGGAAACACACCTGACCACAACCAGGCGTCACCGTACAGAAGATAGTGTATGTGTCTAACTCTCTCTGTCTCCAGGGTAACGACCTCTGTGGACGTCCTGGTGTCCATCTGTGTGATCTTCGCTATGTCGTTCGTCCCGGCCAGCTTTGTAGTCTTCCTCATTCAGGAGCGGGTCAGTAAGGCCAAACATATGCAGTTCATCAGCGGAGTGCAGCCGCTGCTCTACTGGGTGGCCAACTTCATCTGGGACATGGTGAGACACGAAACAAACGCACCCTCACTGTAACTGAGTGTGTATATCAGAGTGTGTAAACATTGTTATTTGTGTCTCTGCAGTGTAACTACATCGTCCCTGCAGCGCTGGTCATCTTCATCTTCATCTGTTTCCAACAAAAAGCCTACGTCTCCTCCACCAACCTGCCGGTGCTCGCCCTGCTGCTGCTGCTCTACGGGTACTACACAGTACTACACAGTACTACACAGTACTACACAGTACTACACTGTACTACACAGTACTACACTGTACTACACTGTACTACACTGTACTACACTGTACTACACTGTACTGCCCTGTAAGATCCATTTAGTAGCAGGTCCTGAGCTGAAAAGTGTTTCCTTGCCCCTGTCTCCAACGGTCGGTTGCTCATGGGTCGTACTGTTGGTCTTTGTAAATAGATGTTATAAGCGCAGTCTGGTCTAGCTGCGTCTATTTGAAAAGTGTCTTAAGATACAACAAATATATATAACAAATAAAACTGAATTGAATTGAATTGAGCTTTCAGTCGTGTCCCAGGGTCGTGACCTTTCCAACCTTTGTTTCCAGCTGGTCCATCACTCCTCTGATGTACCCCGCCTCCTTCTTCTTCAAGATCCCCAGCACCGCATACGTCGTCCTCACCAGCGTCAACATCCTCATCGGCATCAACGGCAGCATCTCCACCTTCGTCATGGAGCTGTTTGGAAACAACGTCAGTCAGCATAGACGACTCTAATCTGAAACCTTATCTAGACTGCAGTTTTAGTCTGAAGATCAGCTGTAATCTGAAGATCATCTTTAATGTAAAGATCCGTTTTAATCTGAAGATCAGTTTTAATCTGAAGGTGGTTTAACTTCCTGTTGCAGGAAATTGGAGGAATCAACGACATCCTGAAGAACGTCCTCCTCATATTCCCTCACTTCTGTCTCGGCCGAGGACTCATCGACATGGTGAAGAACCAGGCGATGGCCGACGCCCTCGAGAGATTTGGTAGCGCGCACACACACACACACACACACACACACAGTTGTTGTTTACTGTTTGGTTGTGTGGTTGTTTACTGTTTGGTTGTTTACTGTTTGTTGTTTGGTTGTTTCAGGTGAGAACAGCTTCCGCTCTCCTCTGGAGTGGGACATGGTGGGAAAGAACCTGTTTGCGATGGCTGTGGAGGGAGTGGTCTTCTTCATCATCACCGTCCTCATCCAGTACAGATTCTGCATCAAACCCAGGTACATACACACACACACACACACCTGTCACTCAATGTGGCCACGCCCTGAATTATTCAGACCTTTAATCCTTGATATGATTTAAAGAGGGAGTCGTACATCAACAGTGAGACCAGCAGCTGTAAACATGTTTATTAGAGCAGTTTAATATGGAGACTCACTGCTGGAGCCTCTAGTGGCCGTTAGAGGAACTGCAGATGTGAGTGGTTTAATCCAGCTGTGGTTCACGTATATTATACACACACATTGGACAGTTACACACGACTATATTATACACACACGATCGGACAAGTACACACAGTCGTATAATATACACCACACATGACCAGGTACACACATATATATACCACACATTGGACCAGGCTCACACACTATATATACACCACATGGACCAGGTACACACACTATATATACACACACAGGACCAGGTACACACACGGTATATATACACACACATGCGACCAGGTACACACACAAAACAGGACACACATGGACCAGGTACACACTATATATAAGCACACACATGCGACCAGGTTACACACACAAACAACACACACACATGGGACCAGGTACACACTACTTATA